TTTGGCCTGTTTTTACTAAGAAAACCGTTTCCATAACCAAAATAATGAGGGTCACAACACCAACAAAATTCATAGGAAGTAAATGTTTGATTTTGTATACCTTGTCATCCTTATGGTGTGGATTTATACAAGGGATTGGACAATTTTCAGTGCAGTTGAGGCTTGGGCGCTTTTTGAAAATCCATAAGGCCATCAAGAGGGTCGTTATACCAATGGTTAAATTTGCTGAGATTCCAAAGCCAAGTTTCACTTTCAAGTCATCAATATCTTCATATTTGTCGTTTGTGAAAATATGGAGTAGCATAACGGCAGTGCCAACTAGAAATAACACTTTACAGGCTTCAGGCTTAGGGCAGTAGTTGTATCGGGTGCACAGTATCATTAAGATGAATATAGCGCCATAGAATAACCCAGCACCGATCGCGGCGATAAACTCACATGCCTCTTCTGTAAGCTTTCGATCTTCCATCGATGTATTTTGAATCAATGATGAATTTGTAACATTTGTGACATTCATCTTGATAGGTAGCACAGTTTTGCTCTCAGTTTTTACTCATTAAATTTAACTGAGTTATGCTATTAGTTTTAGCAACAAAATGGAATAATCTATTGTTGTTACTTCCCGGAATCCTTTATCAGTAAGTTTGACCTCTAAGTAGACGATTTCCCAGAAGCATGTGTGCGCTTTCAAAGATATCGCGGGCGCGTAGACGAGTTATTTTCGTGTAAATAAAAAGATCTTTTCGGATCTATATTGTGTTATTTCATGAAAGATTTTTTAATCCCATATATTAGTAAGATATATCTCCTGGATATTTTTAAGATTTAAATTAATTGAAGTCGCGGCTGTTGAAAGAGACTACGTTTCCGTGGAGGACTACAAGAAACACTGATTTCCATCTCAATTTCTAGCGTGAAACACATTTTCCCAGAAAAAAGTCCATTTCGCTTGCAAGACCCTTTGATAGAACGTCATTATTTTGCCGTTTTTATTCTGTCAAAGTCAGACCTCTCAAGAGCCCTATTTTGAGCACCCGGTACAACAAACTCCTATGCAAGACTGAAAAGCACTGATAGGAAGGGACAAAATTTGGACATCTTGCGCCATTATTCTTTCAAGATCTTTTTTTATAAGTGTAAGCTCTCTCGCACCTACAGGCAAAATATTAGGCCGAATTCTTTGGATGTCAAATATTGCCAAAATTACCTTGGTAGGTTGGAAAATCTGCCACAGATGGACCAGGAAAGCGATCTTTCTATGATGTCTCCAGTTCAATGAAAACCGTGATTTGGAGCCATTGTCCTCGAAAGATCGCTTACTTCCTCTCACTTCTTCCAGAAGATTGTCTCTGCCTTCTAGTCAAGCTTTATGATCCTAGGGATTGTAAAGATTATATTGAAACATAAAGCAAAAATTATAAAGAAGTGCACATAAAAAGAACAATGTTCCCCTATTTATTCGTATACCCAAAAATTTAAATAAATAAAATGATACATAGTATAAAATAATCTTCTCGGATGTCTTTTGAGTTCATTCCTTATGCTATTAAGTGCAATACATTGGGGGCGAAGTTACCTGATATGGTGCCGAGTATAGCTTAAAGGCCTGGGGCGACATTACCGTAAATCATGCAAGCCCATAGTGCTCCTGTGGCAGCAATAAGCACAAAAAAAAACGCTTATAAACGGTTTTTTAGGTAAATATAGGCTCAACTGCTCGACAAATAAACGATCCGACCTAAATTTACAAGGCGTTGCATAAGTTAAAGCTCCCTAGTGAGTTCAAATCCGCAATATATTTTAATTGACAACATCTTGTATGAAAAGCCAAATCATCTTTTTAGGGTCGAAAATGCTTCAAAATCAACAAATAAACATCTGTCGTCAAAGGGTTACACTGAATTGTTCTCTTGTAAAGACATAAAGACAACAACAAAGTCATTTGCATAAAAAAAGGTTTTTTCATATTCCCAGGTTGAATTATAATTATATATACTTTAGATAAATAGAGAGTTAAGTGTTATTGACATTGTAAAGGAGTCTTGGAGCTTTGTAAATATATAAAAAATAAGATAAAATAGAAAATTACAGAACAAACTACTGTATTTCCATGATGTAATTTTCACTACAATATTGTTTTTTGTTCTGTAATTTTCTATTTTATTTAATACAGCTCCGACTTTTATATTGTCGTTGAGCACTTTTTTAGTTTTTTGATGAAATTTTTCATATATATAAAAAATAAGATATATGCATATGTCTTTGTTGTTGGCTTTACAACGTTTAAAATGAGATTAGTAATCTGTATTCACAATTAAAACTGCGAAATTCATCTAGAAATAAAATTTTCAATAGTAATTGATTGAGTTACTGAACTAATACTACTAATAAAGCTAGCGTAACGTACATTTTTTAGGGATGACACCGAGACTCTTCCTGTTTACAATTTGTCATTTTCAACATTTGTTTCAAATTTTGTTGAACTGCAACGCTGAAAACGTTTGCGTGGGACTTCGTTGAAACAAATATCGAGAGCGATAAAGCTTATGCCACCCTTTACAATCATTTCACATTTCAAAATTAAAATTCAGTTGAATGTGAAAAAGACGCATGGTCTCCATCTGTTGTTTGTTCTTTACTACGCAAAATATACCACGGTCTACGGCCATGTTCTCCGCTTATAAGGAGATTTGCTTCTGGCTGAATCTCCTTTGCCTTCTCCTTCATTTTGTTCTGTATTAAAAATAAGTGAAGTGTTGCATGGATGCAGAAGGCGAGATAAAGTGCAGGGCCTACTTCCAGAAGAATCTTGAAGCTTGTTTTGGTCACTTCTTTCCTATTAAGAAGAAAGAGTCCTACAGTAGTGCTTATCACCACCCTAAGATATATTGTAGAGTTTAAATTGCGCTCACTGCGCATGCGTCGGTTTATGAAATTGTAAATTAAGAAATCTAAACGCCGCGCGTGTCTCTGTCTTCTGATATAAACACGGTAGGAGTTGAAAAACACGAGAAAACACGAGCGTAGCGAGTGTTTCTGTTGCTTCTCGAGTTCTTTTCAACTCCCACCGTTTTTATATCAGAGAAAAGAGACACAAGCGGTCGTTTTATAGTTCTGATTTTATAAACGTTTTAGGCGTTTTTTGAGAAAAAAATGTATATATATATATTCCTAAGCCGTGAGCCGTGTCTTTGTCCTCTGATATAAGCACGGTTGTCAGCCAATCAGAGCGCGCGTTATAAATCAAAAAATTTAAAAAGAGAAACGGAGTAAAGCTTATTTAATTTTTAGAACATTTTAAGAACAAACGTTTCACGACAAAAGTTAAGTTTTTCGTAGGGCTCAAAAGGACAAATTCATTTTTGAATTATCTGCGAAGTAACCGAGGATATATTTCATTCAGACATTTATCATTATTAAAACAGATCATTTTCTTTCTCATGCTTCATTCACTTTTCTGTATCTATTAACACGTGCATTCACTAGTCTACTAAAATAATAAAATCTTTCAGGTAAAAATCTTTCCAGAACTATATATACTTTATCAAATTCATTTATAATTCGTAAGGTAAACAGAATGAAAATCATTGCTTGGACCGTATCGTTATGATGAGCATGAAATTTATACTGATTTGCATACGACTTTAACTTCGGCAATTTTCGTTTAAAAAATATATTTTGAAGGTTTTAGTAAAATATACTTTAGCTTTTGTTGGAGTTTGATAAGCAATATAAAATATTCAACCTTTATTGGCATTCAAAACTGAGAGCTTCAAGCTCATATTTTGTATATAATATATTCATTCTTTAAGTAATATATAAAATATGAGCGGGAGACCTTTATGGGCATTTAAAACTGTGAGCTGCAAGCGAGCAGTTTTATAGCCCATAAAGTTCGGACGCGAATATTTTATATTGCTTATCAAATTCCAACATAAGCTAAAGCATGTTTCAAAAAAAAAAAAAAAACACTTCAGGATAAAATATCATTTGTAAGAGAAAATCGAAGTTAAAGTCGTATGCAAATCAGGACAAATCTCTTGCTCATATATAAAGATGCCGTCACGGAAATGATTTTCCATTGTGTTTACCTTATGAATTATTAATGAATTTGATAATACGCATTTACTATCAAAATGATAAAGCCATTCATGCATACTTGTATCTTTCCGTGATTGGTCCAACATACTGGTCCAAAGCAGCACCAAGAAATTCAGAGATCGTGCCAAAAAGCAAACATCCAGTCAGGAAGTTGTTCGACTGATTTGTGACAATATCATGGGTTGCCATATTCTCAATCGTTGTTTGTTTGAAAGTTTTGATTAGAAAAAAAGCTGCCGGACATCGAAACCAAAACTTTACAGCTATCATCCAGATGTCATACTGTGAGGATCCATGAATAAGATCTTCTATGGCCCAACTTGTTACCAAAACGGCAGAATATAGCCAGTATGCAAGTCCAACGGCACCAAAGCAGCATACCTAGTGAAAGACAGAAAAAAAAACGTATATAAGTGTTTGACATGCTTTTTTTGGTAGGTAGCCTAAAGGCTGCCCAGCCCTTTTATTCTTAATTTTATGCAATAACTTTCTGTTTTTTCGTTGTATCAATCTCAGTTACGTTGTTCTTTATGCGCTGAGGCTAATCCTAAACTTTCAGACCCCCGAGTAGGTCGCCTTCATGAAAATAGAACACAGATTCAAATCAACACCATACCACAATTTTAAGAATCCCTTCGCTTTCGCTTGCAGATAATTTTTTCCCAAGTCTCCAGCAAAAGAAGACGATAATCGCTTCAGCTAAAAACGTGAAACTATGAATCCACGCTCCAGCATTGATATCTCTGGCGAAGTTTAGAATGCAGGCCGACTGTTGGATATGAGAAAAATGATTGTTAGTTGTTTTTAACTTGGTTGATTTTGACAATTATTATATTATAGGTTTCTTGCGCGCCGGCCTTATATTATAGGCCGGAAGGAAGAAATTCTGTGCTGCTTGAAGAAGTCCCACTTACTCCCCCTCAAAAGTCAAATGGTCGTCCACTTACCTGTAGAAAACAGCAGAATATGCCTAAACCAGATCCATAAGAAATACAATGACGCAGATTTTCCACAAAACCACTTTTCCGTCTTTTGTTCGAGTTATTTCTCTCTTCAGCTCTTTCTCTATTAGACAGGTCTAAAGCATGCTCCAAGAACACCAAGCAAAACATCATGCGATAGTCAATAATGCAGGCTTTGTAGAACGTCGCAACGATGTTTACCCACGGGGGCCCGCTATCTTCAACATAAGCAAGAACTAAGTCATTCTCAATGTTGACCATAGAATCAAGCCATATTACCGCATTGTAGAACGACATCACCTTGAAGTAGAATTGTGCTTGATCGACCTTATCTTCCGGCACACACCGTCTTTTAAGAAGATACCAGTAAATAATCGCCTGGAAAATGTTGTCAAACAGATACACCGTCTTGTCAAAAAGGATAAGCCATTTGATTTGATGATTTCTTTTACCTGTTTTCACGATAAGGAAAACTTCCATAATGAAAATGAAAGCAGTCACAGCCCCAACAAAGTTCTTTGGAAGTATTCTTTTTAACTTGTACATCCCTTCATCTTTATGTTCTGGATTTCTGCAAGGGGTTTGACAATTTTCATTGCATTTGAGGCTCGGACGCTCTTTGAAAATCCATAAGGCCATCGAAAGCGTGATTATGCCAATGAGGAGGTTAACGGCGATTTCGAAGCACAGTTTAACTTTCAAGTCATCAATGTCCTCATATGTGTCGTTAGTGCAAACATGGAGTACCAGAACAGCGGCACCAACAAGAAATAACACTTTACAAGTTTCGGAATTAAGGCAGTGATTGAAGCGGGCACATCGTATCGTTAAGAAGAACAGAGCGAGGTAGAATAACCCAGCTATGGCAGCCGCAGTATACTCACATACCTTTTCTGTTAGGTCTCCATACTGACTGAGATATTTCGATGAATTACAAATCAAAGTAGAGTTCGTAACAATCATTGTTATCTGAATCACAATTCTGTTGAAATTATATGTGTTTCTCTAAAAAGAGATGCAATGTGTAACAAGAAAACAATGGCTATTTCCTAGAATCTGTGCGAGTACCTAGTAACTCCAGTTCTGGGAAATAAACGTGGTCACTACAGTAGCTACAGGCCGCTGCATGACATAGACGTCAAAAATTATCTGACCATTTCACCATATTATTCATACAAGACTATTTCCTAGAATCTGTACAAGTACTTAGTAACTCCAGTTCTGGGAAATAAACGTGGTCACTACAGGCCGTTGCATGACATAGACGTCAAAAATTATCATTTCATTT